AGTGCCTTATCTCATTAACTTTTCAATGAACGTATTTCTTTCTAGTATGTTATACTAGTTAGGGTTTTAATGGCATCCCCTATAATCGAAAGTGTGATGTATATAAATTTGGAATTTGCCTGTGGGAGATATATTGCTGTGACATGTCAAATCCAGATTTGAGCTTCGCAGAAGTGACATCAGCTGTTGTGCACAAAGTACAAATTTAATTTCAGATGTATCTTGATGCCAACTGAACATGGACTTTGTTTATTCAAAGTTAAAAAGTCAAAAACTCTGCGTCAAATAGGGGATGAAGTCAAGTTTTGTTGGAAAAGATGGATTTATAAAACAATTGGGGAAATAGCAAGAGAATTATTAGTTTGGATTATGAATTTAGAGGTATGGAGAAAAAATAAACAGATATATATTGCTCCACATTTAGTTCCTGAAGTGAGTGGAAGGTAAAATGGTACCTTTTGGCCTAATCCGGGGGTTCACATTATACATGATATTTCAAAAGCAAGAATTGAATATATGATGAAAATAATGATTACACTCTTCACAGAGTATCGTGAACAACTCAATGCAGGTCTTAATTCCGATAATTCCTCACTTAAATGACATCTCTAACCAGCAATCTTGTAGCTTGGATTCACAAGATTATCGAGGCCAGATACAACTTGTATTGATTCTATCACATCTCCCACCTTCAGATCTGCCAAAAAGTCCTCATTTTCTGTCACATAACCAAACACAGCATATCGACCATCCAATATATTGGCGTTGCTAGGAGTCAGTTCACTTTCTTTCAACAGCCAAAACACCTGACTTGAGGCAGAGTTATTCTCAAATTCCTGTAAAAGCGCCCATAATCCAATGAGTGTTGACAAATATAAAGGTCATCAAATAAAGTTACATGAAATAAGCAGATGCAACATCAAAAGTAAAGGTATCTCACTTCTCTAGCCATGGCCATTGTTCCAAAAGCATTGAAAGGTAGTCTTGTTTGAGCCTTGTATAGGCCAAGATCCTGTAGAAATTATTCCAGAGACTTATAATATACAGAAGGAATAAGTAGGAATATAAAGTGAAAAGAGAAGAATACTATGATAAAGGCAAATATGAAACCTTTGTTGAGTGTATCAGAAACATTTTGGCTGGTTTAGTATAATGGAGAACGTTCATGTTTAAGGCTGTGAATCTGTGATGGTGTAAGTAGGGAAAGTTTAGTGCTGAGGGAATATAAATCCATTTCTCAACACGGATTCCTACTCTTGGATGATGGGAGAAGTGAGATCTATGCAAGAGCAGGAATGCCAAAGGCCCAAATGCTGGGGCAAGTGATCTTTCTCTCCACAATTACAGGTCTATGGTAATTTCTAAGACCATCACAAGAAACTGGGTATAAATGTATAATCCATATGACGATAGTCTGGCTGACAACGTCTACTCTTATACTGTTTATAGCTTCTACTGAGCAATTGGAAAGAAGTAAGTGATCAGGGGTAGGACACCAAGAAGTTAATTTTAGAGGTGGCAAAATGACAACAACATGAACTTACTTCTAAAGTTTCTCCATAGAATGGTGCTTTTTCACCAACCACCATAATCTCTAGAGGTATTGTCCGGGTTTTCTCTGTACTGGGGTCAATAAAACCTTCAGCTGGACCTTCAGGATCTCCTGTTTGGACCACAAATCCATCCGCTGCAGAACATCCACAATAATGAGTTTCAAGAACATATACAGGTCACAAACTAAACAGACAACATTCCTTGTTTGATGCATAGACAGCTTTATTTGTCCATCAGTTTGCAAAAATCATAAGCTTACCTCTTTGAATATCCATGCCATCATAGAAATGCCTCTCGACCAAGTCTATAAAATTTCCAGCAGTAACTGGAGCATTATATCCATCTAGAACAATACGAAATACGCATTCCTCCAGGTTGGGATTGTCTTTGACTTTGACCTTCATATCCACAGTTGCTCTTCCCTTCAGTAAAGGCATATTTTGATATTCTTCAGGTACTTCATATGGGAATCCATCCACCATATCCTCTTCAACACTGCAGAAATCGAATGCCCCAGGAAGATCTCAGCTGCAGTCAATGACAAGGGGTCTAAATGAGAAAGGCATAATTTTGGAAATTCACCATTTTTAAAAGTTTTCGTCACTCCTCACTTTCTATTCATAGAATTGGTCCATAGCCAACAAAAAATCTTATTTTGGTATTCAAACTGGAATAAGTAGCTAACTTAAACATGCATCCATCCATTGACACTTCGGTGCGTCCATGGCATAAATTCTACCAAAACAATTGCTTTGTCAAAGTTTCTGAAGAAAAAGTTATTTTGGACCAAGGTCTTGACTTTTAGAACATTCCAGTTCTAAGCACAGAAAATACAACACTGTATATGGATATTGACTTTGCCTAAACCAAGCTACCCATTACATATTCAGGGCAGAACAGACACTTCGGCTAAGTATGTACATGAGTGGTCTCTTTTTCAGTCTCACGTGAAGTTAAAATTAAGTACATGAAGCAGTAACCAAGCATCATACTGATGCATCATCAAACAGAAAATCAAAGCCCGACACCTCATTCCTCTTTACAACTCGCAGGGTGCATGAAAATGTGCATCAAAAGAACAAGGCAAACTAAGCTATCAATACTTTTTTATAAGTAGACTAAGCTAGCTATACTTACCCTCCAACATAGTTAAGCAATTCCTTCTGTTTAGGTGCAACAGCATCTCGATTCCTGTCTTCAACAATTTGTTGAAGCTCACCTAACCCAGCTTCTAGTTTGTTTAGCAATTCAATAGCGTGGTCAGTCTTTGACTTAGCTACTCCTGAAACAATCAAGGTTTTCCCTTCCTTGAGAGCTCGAGATGCTTGTCTTGTATTCTACACAGTTAAAATACGAACCACCATTACAAATCTAGGAAGCTACATTAAGGAGCAGATTCAAGCCAATAAATTATCTAAGCGGGAGCAACTAAGCAAATGACATCTTACTCTTTCAACAGAGTCAAGTGCCTTGACACCAGCAATCTTGAGACTATCAGTAATATCTTCAAGGGGCTTTTGGACTTCTCTTATTGCCTTGTTGTCTATAGGCAATGCATACCTCAATAACGCCCCTGGATCCTTAATTGGTGGCCCTGAGATCAATACAGAGACATCTGGCAATGCTGGGGTGCTCGCATGAGCAGGACTCAACCATTGCGATCCAGGTAGTCCAGTTATCAAACTAACTGACAATGCAACTGCAGCTGCACATTTCTTTAATGACAAAAACCAATCTTTCTGCAGTTTCAGGAAAAACCTTCATCGTGTAAGTTCCTACTTATTTAGAACACACACTTGAGAACTTTAGAAAGAATTGTCAAGTGCAGTCTTGTCATTACTTACAAATGCTAACATTGTACAGATAAGGCAGTGAGTTCGGCTCAAACTATAGGTATACAGTAGATTTTTTTATACTAAAAATACCAACACTACGAAGTAATAAATGCAATTGTACTCTCAAAGACTCAAACTTCTCATTTAGATATTGAATTCCCATTATCTCATTTGGAACTAATGAACACCCATTTTTTTAAATAAAAATGAAGGAGAATAATAGAACGTACCTCTTTGTCTTGGCATTCAGATTCAGAAGGAAGCGAGCGTTGTGAAGAACATAGTGGAACAAAATGGCGGATCGATCCTTTACTTAGAGCAGGTGCAAAATGGCTGTAATTGAGCTTGGGCTTGATGGATTTGGTAGAAGTTGTTAATGGGGAAGAAAAATAGTGGCAGGAAACAGATGCTGCCATTGATGAATTTACAACTAGTTTGTTTACACAGTTAAGCAAATGTAGAGGACATTTAGGTTTGGAGAAAAAAATATCTTTGACAAAATGTAAGTGGTATTAATGGAGAAATTGAGATTGAAAATTAGGTGTAATGGACAGGAGGAGAGTGGAAAGAGATAAGGATAAAATTGGAATACCAGAGACTCAGGTCAACCTCATGCTCTGGATAAGATGATTGAGTGTCACTTCACTTGGATATTAGTAATACGCGACATTTAGTGGGTTCTGGGCTTTATCGCTAAATTGGGCCGAGACATTGCACATAATTTTACTCCCTAATTTTACACGAGAGAGTTATTTACATTTTATTCTTATTTTTTAGTATTTGAGAATAGGAGAGTAGAAGATTTAGTAATTTTTTAAATGATAGGGAATTTTAGAGAATATAATAAAATAAGTAGTGTATTCAGATAATTTTTCTATTTTGATGTGCATCTTTTACCCTTCGAATTATAGGCGCTAGATTTTTGTTATGAAAAATATTACTCTTTGATTGTTGAATTGCAGGAGGTGCATTTGTTGAAAAACATACAATATAAATAGGATAATATTTATTTATTGTATATGGAGTATACGTTGTTTAGTCCTAGAGGCAGAGAATTCTTTTTATTGTAAATCCCCTTATTGATTGCGCAAACAGTATTTGTTAAGGTTACTTGTACAGAAGTAGTAGATGACTACTTCAAGGACAAAAACTCTTTCATTAGTTATGGATTGCGGATATTAATGGCACCAAAGCTAAAGAGATCTCATTATTCAATTTGTTACGTAACTTGGGACACTAGATCGTAACTCAACTCATGTTGAAATAAATGGTTCGCGGAGGATCAAGATTTTTGAGTATCGTAAATTTGCTTTACTCTGAGTTGTGTTAGAAACCATACATTATGCAATTATGTGGAAAGCAGAAAATGCCAGCAATCATGGAAGCTAAGGGAAACAACATGAAGATTATATGTTCTCTCAGGTATAATGAAAAACAAATTTAGTACTCAATTATAAACTGAGGTAAAGAATCTATATTCAACTTTTAAAAAATTACTGAAAATTGAATGACTAAAGCAAATGCCGCAGAAATTCGTATTCTCGTGGAAATACGAAGGGGATAACAGAAACAAAATCTAAGAAACAAAATCTAAGGGGATCATAGTCTTCTGTTGAGTGTTGGGAGAAATCAGACGACGTTTTGGAGCTCTACTTTAGATGGCTTCTCGTCTTTGGGAGGCGGGTTGCGGTAAATGACGATCAATGCCAGCTGAACTAAAGCTAATAGTGCTCCAACTCCGTTTCCAGTCTACACGATATCAGAGCATTACAAGTTAATTAGTATACAAATCAATTCCAGTTACAGAAACAAATACTGTAGATGAAATTTAAGAACAAAAAGACACACCAAGATGTAGGGATCAAACTTGAGGAGAGCATAGCCGGCCCAGCAGATTCCATTAAGGAAGCATGCTATGGAAAGCGTCTTTGGCAAGAATTCAGCACTCTTTGTTTTGATCACCTTGTACTGTTTTCAGAAAAACCACAAAAATTAAAATTAGCCAGAGTACAAAATAAACTACTAAGTTTGATATTCTACATATATGAAATTAATCAACACCAGAACTAGGCCTTTGTACATACCATGATTGTTAGAGGGGATCCATACATACAAATTCCAAAGGCGGTAGCCAGAATTCCCACAACCGTGGTTCTACTTGCGTAAGTGTGCAAGCCTAACATGGTTCCAGCTACGGCGGCGGCCAGCCCCACGATTTCACCGAACAAAATGGAAACTATTTGTAGCTGAGATTGAAAACACAAAGTGTTATATATAAGAGCATAATTTTTAACTTACATTAAAAATTGGTTAGATAGTTACCCGATATCTTTTGCCAGTGTAGAAGAAAAATATGGAAATATAGCACAACTGCATGAAGAGACCAATGCTGTTGATGGTGACCACAAGAATGCTGTGTGGATGAACGAAAGGCATGCCGTAGAAAATCCACATCATACAGTTCATTGTAGATGCAAGGTATGGGTATGGGTGGAACTCCTCCACCGATTTGTTTTTGATGATTCGACAAAATGTTGGCCTGAATTAATCACAGAAATCAAATTCAGTAAACATTAACTTTGAGGATAACAGAGTATATTTAAACTTTGATTTTTCCATATAGATGCCTAATTTGATTGATGTTTCTATGAATTAAATCTCTTTATTAAGTGACTACACATGAGATTAATCGAATCGAACTGCTATTAAGCAAATAGCACAGAGAGAAGATATATTACACTGGCGAAGCAAAGAGAACGAACGATAAGACATTGCCTGCAAAAGAAGAAGAGATCGAACATTAGAGAAATTGTTTACATAATCAAACACGTATGCATGTATGTATGTCAACAGACTTAAATTCATACGTCCTACGCCTAATCCGTTCAGATTAGTAGAATTAATGCTGCCATGCATCATGCATGTGTCCATGAGAACTTTGATAAATAGCAGGAAAAAAAAAACAGAGGAAGAGTAGTTTAGACAAATCGATTCATCAAAAACAGCATAAAAACCTGGTTCATTAGAAGAAATTCAACAAAATCGAAGTATCATCACTCAATTCATTCACCAATTCGAATGAGAATCAATTAACAGAGTTCAATCTACTTAAACGTAACTATAAACACTTTATCCATCCAAAATCAAAAAAATAGAAGAGAAGATCGAAAACTCATACCGATAATGCCGACGACAAAACGAATATTATCTGCACTCAGCACCATCTTCGGTAGCTTTTGAGAAAAAACTTGAACGAACGAACAGAGGAATTCCGGATTCAGAGAAGGGAAGAAAAGTGTGACTAATGTGATGGAGGGAAGAGAGGCGTGTTTATATAGATGTAGAAATTAAGTTAATAGAGTTTTAGTGGGACTGTGTCCTAACTAATCCAAATTTAAGTCTTATTTGGATTCTTCGTTTCTTTCATCTACTCCGATTAGAATTTCATCCAAAACTTGTTTTAATCCAACCCTTCATAAACAAGGTTTACTTTTTTATTTTTCGTCTTTATCATATCTTACTATATGTACCAAATGATTAAATACGTAACTCTGGAATAAGTTAATTAAAGCTAAAATAATGTAAATGAAACTTTAAAGTATTAATTAAACCAAAGAAATATTTTAAAATTCATGAATCAATATTATTGTATTAGCATTAAATAATAACTTGATAAGAGTCTTGTCAACCTATTATAATATATACTCCAACAAAGTTAAATTATATCACGGTGTGATTTTCTTTTAATTATTATTATTATTATTATTATTATTATTTTCAACAGACTATCACGCCAAACGAGAGTGCAGTGAGTGTTCCGCTTAGTTAGTTACGTAATTGCCTATTGATATTATTTTCCCAATTATTTGCAAATTAATCTTTTTTTCCTAATTCTTATTGGTTAATTACACCAACTATGTACCCTGGCGTGAAAGTCAATTATATTATTAATAAGAAGATAAAACTCTGATGAATGTTGAAATAATAATTCAACGTTGGAGTAGGAATCTTAAGTTGTTTAAGATTTGTTATTTTTTAATTATGTCTAGTTAGGATTCATTTGTTCTAATCTAATATAAAATAGGTTTTCTAGTTCTAGTTTAATGATTTCTTACTATTATAAATAAGTATTATAAATAGGGATGTTGCTAGTTAGTTTTAATATACAAAATATACATAATAGATAGAACTTGAAATAATTTTCAAAAAATTTTATGTTTATAAATAAAATATTATCGTTCAAATTGGTATTAATTATTATTATTATTATTTTATATATAAAAATGTCTTTTATTTTTAATAGACTATCACGCCAAAAGAGAGTGCAGTGGGTGTTTTGTTTAGTTAGTTACTGTAAGTTATGTAATTACCTACTTGTATCATGCTTCCACTTATTTGCAAAGAAATTCTTTTCCTAATTCTAATTGGTTAATTACATCAACTATATAGCGTAGTGAAAAGTCAATTATATTATGAATAAGATGATAAAACTTTGATGGATGTTGGAAGAATAATTCAAAATTGGAGGGGGAATTTTAGATTGTTTAGGATTTTTTTTTTGCTTTTATTTAATTATGTCTAATTAAGATTTGTTTGTTCTAGTTTATATAGAAATAAATTTTATAGTGCTAGTTTAATTTGGTTTCTTACTATTATAAATAGGAATGTTGCTAGTTAGTTTTAGGACCTGTTTGGGCCCCAAGTTTTATTTGGGACTATTTGGAAAAAACTCGGAGAAAATTAAGCCGTTGGCGTTTTTGGCCACATAACTTGGCAAATTTTTTTGCCAAGAATCCCAAGTTCCCAAATATGAGAAAAAACTAGTTTTTGGGAACTTGAGAAATATTTGGGAACTTTAAAAAATTCAAAAATTACCCTATACTTTTATCTTTTATAAAAAAAAAATACCTATCATTTATTACTTCCTACTAATATATATTTTTATAGGAATAGTTTGTTACAACCTCCTCCGAAAAAGTTTGAGTTTTAATTTGAATGATTAAATTGAAAAAAAAAGAATAATTTTTTAATAGATTGTAATAATAACCGAATGAAACTAATATTTATCTACCATATCTATCCATTATTTTTATTTAATAGAATCAAACCAATATTTATCTACCATATCTATCCAAATTTGGTCACAATGGTACCTCCGGAGGTTGTTATAATTATAACTGAATCAATGACAAGTTTGAATATGCATTAATGTATTGCTCTTGCCTATATTGTTATTTTGTTGTTGTTGATTGTTATCATTTATGTTATAAGGTTATTTTTAACGGAACATATTCATTATAAATAGATAATACAAACTTATGAGTATTTTTAATAGTTTTTAGAACTTATAGGTATAAATCATATTTTTTGAAATAGTCAAATATTTTTGGGACCAAACATAGGGTGTTAACTTGGAAAAAACTTGGCTCAAGTATTATTTGACAAAAATACATGGAAACTTGGAGCCAAACGCTAGCTTAATATACAAAATATATAAATTTGAAGTAATATTCAAAAACTTTTATGTTAATAAATAAAATATTGTCCTTCAAATTGGTATCAGAGCTTCTCTTATTATTATTATTATATAAAAATGTCTTTTATTTTTAATATGAAGTAAGTAGAGTTTTAGGCGGACTATATCACAACTAATTCAGATTTTATTATCATTATATGAAAATTTCTTCTTATTTTCAACAAATTTTACTAACCGCCAAAAGAGAGCGTTGAGTAATTGTTGAGTTAGTTATTGTAAGTTATGTAATCATTTTTTCACTTATTTACAAATAAAACTCTTTTTCTAATTTTAATTGGTTAATTACACCAATTACGTACCCTGGCGTGAAAGTCAATTAATAACTTTTATTCAAGAACTTTTATTTATAAATAAAATATTGTCTTTCAAATTGATATCAGAGCTTCTATTTATTATTATTATTATTATTATTATTATTATTATTATTATTATTATTATTATTATTATCATTATCATTATTATAATATAAAAATGTCTTTTATTTTTCAAATGAAATTAATAGAGTTTTAGTCGGACCGTATAGCAACTAATCCAGATTTTATTATCATTATATGGAAATGTCTTTTTATTTTCAACAGATTTTACTATCCGCCAAAAGAGAGTCGTGAGTGTTTGTTGAGTTAGATATTGTAAGTTATCATTTTCCCACTTATTTGCAAATAAATTCCTTTTTCTAATTCTAACTGGTTAATTACATCAATTACGTACCCTAACGTGACAGTCAATTAATAAGAAGATAGTTGAAGTCTGTTTCTTTTATACTTATCTCAATTAGATAAGTGTCAAAAACATATCTAAACTATTCTCTTTTTTTTTCTTAGTTTCATACCTAAATTAGTGAGAGCTAGAGTCTCATACCTATAATATCACTTATTAGTTTGAGAAATACATCTTCTTTTATTGCACTCTCTTCATGGTCTGTGTACTATATGTCTCTTTTATTTTTTTAAAATTGTCAAATCACACTCTATATGGACAAAACATTCAGCCTTCGCAAAAATTAAATAAATTATTAGTATTAATTAAAATTAAAGATTAAATAAATATTATCCCAAAAAATCAATATTTTTATACAATAAAATCTATAAAAAAAAATCTCACCCCACTTCATCACTTTCTCTCACCGTACCCCCCCCCCCCCCCACTCTTTCAAATAATAATTCAGATATTATTTTATTTTCTACCCCACTCCACCTAATTTTCGCTTCCAATTTTTTTTTCATTTTGTGTTAGATATACACATCTTTTTAGGAAAGTATTTTTTACCTGTTGCAAGACTTTTTAAAAATATATTTTTTATGTTATTTTTGGTCCACAAGTAGAAAATAATTCCTAAAAATATTTTATAAAAGAAATTGAAAAAATAAAAGGACGGGGGATAGTTCCGGGAGAGGAGGTGGTGGAGTGGGGTAAGAAAAATAATTTAATTTAAAAAAAATGTTTTTTTCTTGGGAAAGTAACACTTTAGTCTTTAATTTTTAATTAATACTAATAGTATTATTTAATTTTTATGAAGGTGGATATTTTATCCATATGGAATGTCTTTTGGCAAAGTTTGTTTTTTAAATAAAGAGAGAGTGTATTACACACATCATGAAATGTGTTTCTCAAACTAATAAGTGATAGTTTTGGTATTAAACTCACACTCCCGATAGTTTAGATATGAAATTAAAAAAAAAAAAAAAAAAAAAGGTTTAGGTGTGTTATTTATACTTTATCTCTAATATTGATAAGAAGATAAAACTATTGATAAAAAAATAGTACAACTATTTGCTTACTAAATATTTCTATAATTCATATCGAACTAGTAATGATGCATTTTATCCTACACATACTATCCTTGTTCTATTTGTTCCGCTAGTATTACTACTAGCTTAATGTATAGAACTCAGGAAGAAAATTACCAACCTGTTTATCTCGAAATTCATAATTTAAAATAATAAATGAATTTGTAATGATCGCTCCATATTGATACCAAAACCGAGTTTTGCCTATACATAGCAGAAAATAATTTTGATTTGAACTTGTTCTCTTGTATTTTTAAAGAGCCAGCGCAAAACAAGATTAAATTGTTCTAACGGATTTGACCGTTCTTATAAGGATAGATTCATATTCACACGCACCTGATCATTGTAATGACCTCTCGAAATCAATAATCCTCATTTCTCCACATCTCAACTCCGTAACCATATGCATATTAAAGGCTCCTCAAAGACGTGTGAGCATTTCTTTGAAGACTTTAACCACCTATGTTAATTAAAGCTTCTGCTTGTAGTTTAGACAAATTGGTGTGTTAAATCCAAGAATTAATGGGATTCTAATTCGTGACAAAATTGTTAAATTGTTGCCTCTTGACCAGTGTATTAGAAAGATTAGGAATAAATAATGTAACAATTTTTAAAATCTGGTGTTGTTTGGTAGAGTGTATTAGGAAATATAATGCATGCATTAGGTGTGTGTATTAGTAGTACCTTGTTTGGTACACTTTTTCATGTCATGTATAACTAATGTATAACTAATGCACTCTATTGTGTATTAAGTTGTGTATTACTAATATCAAGGAATTCTAGGTATTAGTAATACATAGCATTTTAACACTTGCATTAGATTAAATAATTACAAAACTACCCTTAAAGTCTTTTCATTCTCTTTGTTGTCATAAGTTTTTGTTTTTACTTTGATTAGCTTTTCAGTGTCTTTTAATTTGTTGGTGTCTTAATAGGCTTTATGTCCT